AGAAATTGCGGAAACATTAAACCCAAGAAACGAATCACCTCAAATTGTCTGTCGATGGGCTCCAATCAAAAAGTTGGACACATGGGGAACAAATGTTAGGTTATTGCAGAGTTTAGACGCATAGAATATGCGAATTACCATTTTTTTTTCCCCAAGGAAGAAGTCAAGATCCTATTCATTATTTTCCATGGACGTTTACTTGATTGTGGTTCTGATTTTTAGGCCCAATTGCCCCTTCCATATTTATCTTTAAATCATTCTCGCTGATTTAAAAAAAAAAAAAAAAAACTTTAGATCATTCTCAGATTCTTGAATGAAGAACTACAAGAGTAGTATTCAGCTTGTTGGAAATACTGTACACATGATTTTTTTTTTCTTTTATGTGATTAAAGATTAATATTCAAACCCATGATAAGCATGTTATATACTCTTTTTTTTTTTTATTAACTTTTGGTATCCGAAAATCATATTAAGTATCCACAAGTCATATTAATTATCCACTAATTTGGAGTTATTTTTGGTCATATGAAAGTTTTCTTAATGTTCATTTCTTTTTACATAATATTTAAACTTAAAATTTTATTTAAGAAGAACTAAAGTTATTCTATTCAAACTAAAAAATTGTTAATTGTTATATACTATTTTATATTGCCGAATAAGCAGCACTAAATGAAGATGGAACGGACAGTGTAGAAACTAGAAAGCCCTTAAGAACCTTTAGAAAATGAAAATTGATTTTGGGTAGCCTATGAGTAGCTGTACCAGAAAAAAATGAATATTCGTTTTGTTTGGCTCTATTTTTGAAAGAAGTTATCCTTTCCAAAAGCAAATACCAAATACATTATTTTTTTATGGGCTTTTGAATTTTGTGTAAATTAAAGCTACAAATACACAATTCTTCTTCTTTTTTTTTTTTTAATTTATTAGTAGAAATTAACTACTAGAATTGTAGTGTTTATATACCTCGATCCGAAAACTAAGTTCTTTTAGTTAATACCTAAATAGGTTGGGTTTGAGATTGTAATCAAGTGTTGCAATTCTAGCTTTTTAAGTATTCAACTATCACAAAAATTCTATTTTTATTTGATAATTGTTTTGAAAAAGAATGTTATACATCAATATGATTATTAAATTTATAAAATGTTAACTAAAATTAATTTAATTATAATAAATTAAAACTTCAAACAAAATACTATGTAAAAAAGTGTTATTTAAAAAACACATGAAATAAAGTTTCTTGATAAAAAAATTATGGAACAATCATAGAGAAAGAAGTCAACTTCAGGCTTAGTGATTTTTTGTTGGGTTCGGCTGTTTTCTTTTGGCTGCACATATGGATTGGGCTTTACTATTTTTCTAAGCCCAAAAGTTTATACACAGCACTCCGGGCCGGGCTCAGGAATCCCAAGGACACATGGCGCGGTGCTGTGTTGACACGGCGCGGATACTACGCACAGAAGCGCATCGTAGCCGGTTTATCTCCTTCTCCGATAATACGCAACAACACAATTTCTTTCTCTTCACTCCAGGACTCTCTTCTCCTCCGATTGAGCCCCGATCCAGGCGATCAGAAGGCGGCTTTGTCTCCCCGTATCGGTACCTTCTAATTCCTTTCATCCTTCTTTGCTTTCCTTAAGCAGCAGTTTTTTTTTTTTTTTTTGAATCATGAGATTTATTCGGTTTCCATATTGCTTACATCCTATCGGGAAAAAATTGTATACTTGTTTGGTTCTCGATAAATTCAACTGGTGAAATTAGAGTAAACGAAAAAAAATTTAGTTAAAAGATTTATTGTGAATAAGTAATGACTAATGAGCGTATTAATTCAGTCCGGTTTCTATTTCGCATTTGTTCCTTTATTTTGTAATTTTTTTTTTTCTAAGGAATTGTTTTTAATTTTAGTGACTGAGTTGTATTCTCTAATTTTTGAGGAATGTGATTTATTTTTATTTTTTTTTGGTTATAGGAAGGTTGAAGGTTGATTTCCAGTTCTGTCTATTTATACAGCAGAAGAAAATGGTATGTTTTACATTTATTTGGTATTATTAATTCACGTTGTTGTTAGTTAGACGCATGTTAAAATGTTTGTTGTTGTTGAATGTCTTGGAGAAGTGTTACTTGGACAACTATTTTCGAAATTTAGGTTAGATGGTGTAAATATGTTGCAACACTCACTGAGTGCTGTATAAGATAATGAATGCTTTTGTGCCTCTAATGAAGTGTTTATCCTTTTGAAGAAATACATCTTGCTCTTTCTTTTATGTAAAGAAAATAATCTTCATCACCTCCCCCTTCTTCGTCCATGCCTTTCCCATTCCTTAGTGAGAATGTGTTTAGCCATGGATTGCCTACCATTGTGGTCAGCTTATTACTTTTGTTTGATTCACATTTGGATCTACATGTCAAGTATTTTGTTTAGCTTTTTTTTTAAAAAAAAAAAAAATTGTAGTTTTGGTTAACATAAAAAATGAATATATTGCCTCTATTTGGTTGCCCTCTTTTTTCTTTTTGAAGGCTGCTATGGTAGATCAGAGATCGCTTTGTATTCTTAATGGGAACTTGTTTATTAACTATCATCCTAATTTTATTTATTTTTAAATGATCATCGTCATCACAGTATTGGTTTTTTCTTTACTCTCATTAATATCTCTCTTGGCTTGTTACATATCAGTTTTTCGAGGGATATGGGTATCATGGAACATCATTTGAGCAGAGTTATCGATGCTACCCTGCATCTTTCATTGAAAAGGTTAGACTAGTGGAATCCCCCCCCGCCCCCTCTTCTTCTTCTTCTTCTTCTTCCTCTCTCTCTCTCGATAGGCATTGACTGTGTGTGGCTAATAAGAATTTTAAGGTGCTTAATGTTCAATTGCAGATCTTTATTTGGATTTTTAATTAAATTTTTGACATGTTTATGAAGTTTGTAAATCTGGATTTTGCTTAATTTAGTTCTTATTTTATTCCTCATGCTTCTGATTTTTTTTTTTTCTCCATTTGGGCTTGTCCTGCAGCCACAAATTGAGAGTGGTGACAAAAGTAAGCCTTTAGACCACACTACTAGAATTTCTTATGTTCATTTCCCATAGAGTTTCTTAAAATACTTCTCTCATTTCCATTGCAGTTATAATGCCTCCATCAGCCCTCGATCGCCTCGGTTAGTGGTTTCATTTGTGTGTGTTTACCATGGCTCCTATCTAACTTTTTATTTTAGTCTGGCTTCCCAAGGTTCAGAACTTGAAATCTAGGATGCTAATGTCAGACAAATTGTACAGCATCCCTGCATATTGATTATCCTATGTTGTTTGAGCTTCAAAATGCTGCTGCCGCAAGGGTCTCTCACTGTGGAGTACTAGAGTTTATTGCTGAAGAGGGCATGATATACATGCCATATTGGGTAGGCATTGTATTTTATTGTCTTTGCTTCATTTCAGTTTTGTGGTATTCTATAGGTTTAATTATGGTAATTTTATTCCTAATTTCAGTTTGAATTGATTTCATGCAGATGATGGAGAATTTGCTCTTGCAAGAAGGGGATATTGTGAGGGTGAAAAATGTTACCCTTCCAAAGGGAAGCTATGTTAAATTGCAGCCTCACACAAAGGACTTTTTGGATATATCAAACCCAAAAGCTATGTCAGTCTTCAATTTTATTCATCAATTTGTTTTCTCTTAAGAATGTGTTTTGTTCTTTTGTTTATTAATGTTCAATGTTTGGAAAGAAGATTTCAAAGGCAGAATACGTGTAATGCTTAACGTAATATGCATGTTGTGTCATCGTGTGATACCTTCATAAAATGTCCATAGCATCATTGTTTGTGCCACTCCATTTAATGTTTGAAGGGGAGGAATTTAAACCTTCTTTGCCACCATTGTCAGACTTTAATACAGAGAAGATTTTCACTAAAAAAAGGATAGAGGGTTACTGCAGCCCTATACTGTAAACCTATTGCATTATTTAAATGTCTCTGACTCTCTTCATTGGCTGCATTCATGACTAATAATTTTCCTCCATGTTGCAGCTTAGAGACAACGCTTAGAAATTATTCCTGCTTGACCAGTGGGGACAGCATTATGGTGGCATATAACAATAAGAAATATTATATAGATATAATAGAAACAAAGCCATCCAATGCAATAAGTATCATTGAGACAGACTGTGAAGTAGATTTTGCTCCTCCCCTGGATTACAAGGAACCAGAGAGGCCCACTGCACCCATTTCTTCAAGCAAGGCACAATCTCAAGGTACTCAAATCTCTATAATCCTTGTTATACTGCAATTGTCTTACTTAAACCGTTTATTTTCCTTGCTTTTTTGCTTAAATCAAGCTCACAGTAGGTTTTAATTTTATATTTTTCATTATTTGTTTTTTCTCCTGATCTAGGGGAAGAGGCGCCAGTTGAGACTGAACCAAAGTTCAGCCCCTTTACTGGAACAGGCAGACGCTTGGATGGAAAATCTTTGACTTATCAGTCTCCACCAGTTTCTTCACAAATTTCCAAAGAAAAAGGACATGGTTCTTCACATGGAAATAACAAACCTTCTGCTTCATCTAGTTCTCAAAATATCGCACGACAGGCTCAGGGAAAGCTTGTATTTGGATCAAATGTCAGCCGTCCCAAGGAAACAAAACAGGTATCGGGTTTGTTTGTTTGCTTCTTTCTTTTTTCTTTTTTCTTTTTTTTTCTAACAACCTCCACATTTAATCAAATTGCTTAAATTCACTTATCATGAAAGAAAAAACAAAAAATGTAGAGATCCGTGTACTGTGGGCATTATTCTTTTGCTAATTTTCAGGTTGCTGGAAAGGAGAGTGAGAGTAAGCAGGAGCAGCCCCAGAAAAAAGAAGAGCCTAAATTCCAGCCTTTTACGGGGAAAAAGTACTCGTTGAAGGGCTAATTTAGTTGTCTAAAAAACTTGTAATAGTTTACCCATCCTCTGTTGATAGAAGAAACATACAGGATTTTATTATGATGATCTGTGACGTATAAGCGTAATATCAATGATCTGTTGGTGTTCAGTTCTTTTCAAATAAGATTTTATAATTAGCAAAAAAAGCTCTACATAAATATCAAAATAAAATTTTCTTTAATCGGCATGAGTATGACATTAGACAGACTCAAAATAACCTTCTTTTCTTTCTACGATTTTATTATGTTTGCTAATTTCTTGTATTATTTTGTTTCTTAGGACACAAATTTAGACCAATTTACCATCACTATTTTTCCAATATGGGATTCTGAGGCAAATAGAAATGCTGTGCCATATGACCTCATTTATGAGAAATTGTTCACTAGAAAATAACCAAAGAAACCAATGAACGGATTCAAGAATAAATTGACTCTGCTCCTAATGTCATGGCAGAGGCCTGAAACCTTCTTGTCCAAAGAATAAAGAATACATCAGTGTTATTTCACATCTCAGTAGTCAGTAGAAGCTTTTACAACAGAATAGCTTTAAGTGCTTCCTTAACGTAGCTGTATTTAAATGAGAAACCCAACTCCTTGGCTTTAGCAGGAACAACTCTTTGCCCTTCCAGGACCTGGAAATGGTAAATGTATCCCGTTATCCTGTCTGTAATTGAGTTGAAAGTAATATAACGAGACAATAAACAGAACTTACCACGGAAGCACCTTCACCAAATACGGCTTTGAGGGCAAAGTCTGGCACTGGCAGCCACGAGGGTCTGCCCAAGACATTTCCCATGTGTTCACACATCTCTGCCAATCGAACAGGGTTGGGTGCAGTACCGTTTATAACTCCTGACAGTTACAGTAAAACCAGGTTAAGAAATAAGACGCTGAAGAACAAAATCTAACGTTAAATGCATTTGCAAAGGTTATGCCGACAGTGGTTGCCAGATGCATGGAAATCAAGAAATCATGGGTTTAGTCAAGAAAACATATATTGGCTATTTGTGAACAGATGGACATAGTTAAAAGTAGGAAAGACTCTGATAAACAAGGGACAAAATCAGCCTTGTTTCATAAATTTCATTACTTTCCAAACTTAAAAAATTTAACCCATCAAGGAGTTTGTCTTTGGCCATTTGCAATAAGAGAAAAGTTTGGTCAGGGGAGAATTAAAAGTTTATAAAAATTTAGTTTTGCTACTAGATAGACAATTTGTTTTCCCTGATTTTGTCTCAAGAATCAACAAAAATTCATGTAAATTTATGCATAGAATATTACCTTTATAAGATGGATTAGACAGAGCTTCATATATCAGGCTTACTATGTCATCCAAGTGAATCCAGGAAAACCTATACGAGTAGAAGAACAACAAAACCTTGAGACATCTTCAGGAGATATATAAATTATCGCATGTTTAACAACTTGAGTAGCATTTTCCAATCAATTTAAGAAGCAGAAGTGAGACTTTTTTTTTTTTTTTTTTTAGAAAATGTGGAGAAGTGATTAAGAAGAAGTATTCTCTTTCAGACAAAGTGTCGTAACGTACCATTGCCGTCCAGAGCCCAAAGGTCCTCCAGCA